CTTTGTGGACTGGTGTTGGGTTAATGGGTTAATGTTGGACTTGTGGGCTTGGGCAGCATTAGGTTGGGATGGTTTTGTGATGCAAACTTTCTTTATTTAAAACTCTTATACATGAGTTGCTGTGGATTTGTTTCTCTAAAGTACCTAGACTAATACAGAATGCTAGAGAAATCCAAAGACCCTTAAGAAGTTTATGATTTTTTTAGGGAAGAAACACACACACACACACACACACCATTTCCCTTGAATGTTTTGAAGGCCCCTTTGTATATTAGTGCCATCCTAGTAGGTACCTAGTAGATGCTGTAAGAATTCAGAGGAGAAAAGGATGATGTGGGCGTATGAAGGGCCTATATGTCATATTGACCGTAGGTGACCTCCATGAGTCTATCATTCACACACTGCATAGTCCTCTTTCCTTGAGTGTAACTGGGCCCTGTGCCTTTTAGTGAATGAATATGGCAAAGGTGGTCAGGATTTCCAGACTGGATTGTCTTAAATCAGTTGATTTTTGAATCAGGTCTTGGTGGGGCTGAATTAATCAGCCGAAAGCCCTTAAAGAGAAGGACTGGGCCTTCCCTGAAGTGAGAGACACTCTTTGTCAGCTTGATTAACGGTGCAGCCAGCTTGGAGAAGTGCACCTGGCAAGACACTTGAGGGCTAAGGCTGAGAAAAAAACAAGACCTTTCTTCAAAAGCCACAAGGAGGTAACGTTCTTCCAGTAGCCTGCATGAGCTTGGGAGAAGATTCTTCTTCTGTTTGACTGCCAGATGAGAATGGGGCCTGGCCATCAGTCACCTGGATTGCAGCCTCGTTGGCCCTGACTAGAAGACCCAGCACAGCTGTGCCTGGACGCCTGCTCCTGAAATAAACCAGGCATTGTTTTAAGCTGTTCATTTTGTGAGCGCAGTGGATAACTAGTACCAATCTATTGTGCTGCAGTGGATAACTAGTACCAATCATTTTCCAGAATGGACAGATCTTGGGGAGAAGGAGCTCTCTCGGTCTCCTCTGGTCCCCAGGTTTTATGAATATGGAGGGAATTAAGTGGCCACTGACAGAAATAAGTATGTCAGGAGTAGCAGCCAATCTAAGTGAGGAAAGGGAAGATGGTTGATGTTGAAAATGTCAGCCAATGCCTGGAGTTTGGGAGTACAATTGAAAGGGGAAGTTCAGTTTGATGAAACATTCATTTATCAGATTGGTAGTGATAGTCGAAATCCTGGGACTAGAGTCTTCCAAAAGAGGCTCAGAGAACAGGGCGAGGAAAACGAAGGCCAGATCTTGGGGAGGGCCAGAGCTAGGCTTGAATTCCCAAATAGATCAAAACCGAATTCATTGCCGGATGGCGACCCTACAGCGCTGGGTAGAACTGCCCCTGTGAATTTCAGAGACTGTCACTCTTCTTTCTTCCGTGGAGCGGCTGGTGGTTTCAAACTGCTAACAATGGAGTCAGCAGTCCAATGAATAATCACTACACCAATACACCAGTAGGGCTCCTACTTCTATATGTTTCATAAACACGGGCTAGTTCTACCCTGTCCTATGGGGTCGCTTTGAGTTGGCATTGACTAGGTGGCAGCAAGTTGAGTTTTTTAAAAATCATTTTATTGGGGCTCATACAACTCTTAAAACGATCCATCTATCCATTGTGTCAAGCACATTTGTACATTTGTTGCCATCATTGTTCTCAAAACATTTGCTTTCTATTTGAGCCCTCGGTATCAGCTCCTCATTTTCCCCCCTCCCAAGGGCAGAGAGTGTTTATAACGCTTTTAAGAGGCTCTACTTTATCGGAGGCCTCAAGAATGTCAATAACTGGATCAACCCAGTCAGTGGAGGATGGAATTCAAAATGGGATCTCACATCAAAGCCGGTAGTCTTTCCGTTGCACGTTTGTTCATCCTAATTTTCCGAAGGAGAATAAGATGAGCAGGCGGAGGCTGGAAAAGAGGAACAATGATGGGTTTCTGGTCGTGTGGTGGTTACACGTTGGGCTGCTAACTGCAAAGTCAGCATTTCGAAATCACCAGCCGCTCCTCGGCAGAAAGATGGGGCTTTCTACTCTCTTGAGTTACAGTCTCAGAAATTCACAGGGCCGCTGAGAATCGGCATCCCCTGGATGACAGACAGGGGCTCCGAGAGGGTCCCTGACTTCTCCTCCCCTCCAAGAGAGGGCGCCCGAGCTCGGGCTCCCAGGCCGGGAGCGCGCATGCGTCGCCGCGCAGTCGCGCCGCCCCGCCCC